AACCTTGAGCCTGGTGAGATTCAAACTGCCAAATTGCAGTCAGCCAGCAGTCAGCAGAAGTAGCCTGTAGTACTGCACTCTAACCACTGCGCTACCGTGGCTCATCCTGTTAGGTCAGATAGTGTGGCATGCTCCTAATTCCTCCTCTAAAATATTGCCATCTGATGGGAGCTAGAAAGCGTGATTGATCATGTAACAGAAATTTAAATAAGAGAAGTAACATTGTCTATAATAATAAATAATAATCTAGCCTCAAAGGCATTATATTCCTGTTACCTAAAAACTTTTGGAATAAATTACTCTTGATTAATGTAAATCATGTAAAATCATCTGAAAACATAAACATATCAAATCTCATTCTTAATTCTAAATGTTATGAATATACAGTATTAAAAAAGTACTGAATCACTATAAGATTCCCGCAGGTCAAACTACACTTTCATTAAAAACACCAATAACTGCAATATTTCTTTTTCTCTTTTTTACTCATGAGTCCTACATAAGGTATCTTAACTGATATTTTAGTAAGAGTTCATTAAAACAGTTTATAATATAAACTGATCTGGCAGTTTAATTTTTCTCCACTGTGAATTTTTTTTTTAATATGAGATCACTCAAATTCTTATTCTATGATAGTTTAAGTGAAATTTAATTGGATAATAATTTGTTTAACTATGCTTTAGTAAATAAATCATATTTGACTGGGTTTATACAATGCATTAAACCATAAACTATAGTTTAAAAACTAGAGTATGCTAATGCTAATGCAGAAGCAAACAAATGAAATGATTCTCTATGTATTGCTTGAATCAAGACATCCTAATGAACAGATAAATGGAAGAATCTAGTTTTAAAAATGGAAACTTGAGTACAACGATAGTCATTCAATATTTTTTTTTCATTAAATAATAGACCTATATCTAATATCCCTATGATTCTTCTTGAAAGATTTCAGACATGACACAGCCAACGTGCATTGGAATAAATATGATTGTGAATTACATTGGTATTAATAGTTTTGGTGACATGCAAGCACTTGAGAAACACAATTGTTTTCCCAGAGAAAGGTTTCCTTATATTCAATATATTATGCAATCCTTATGCTAAGCAATTCTGAATTAAAAGAATGAAATAAAACATATAATAATGTCCACTAGCTGATGATTTTTGAGAAGCACACTAAAGCTGTTAAGGAAGTAAAAAGGGGGTTAAATTTGCAAGTTTTTAATAGCTTAAGCAAAATATTCTCCCCTCCCCCCTCTTTAAATAGGAACTGTCACTTTGGAGAGGAAAAGTACAGAATTTGCAACACAGCGTTGGTGGTGGAGAGAAAAGGGCAGGGATTGCCAAGTGTGCATGCCATGCTGAAAGTAGTTGAAGTGGAATTGCGATGTAGGAGTTGCGATTGTTCTCCAACATTTTTATTTCAGAACATCCAGAAATACCAATTCTGTCAATTTCCCAACATTAGAATAATTGAAATAAAACAACCAGGGAAGCAGATAATTAGAACAGATGAGTTCTAACAGGATTTATTTACTAGATTTTTATCCTACTTTTATACTTTATAAGTAATTCAGGGTAGTAAGCATATATAATACTCCTACTTCCCCCTATTATCCCAACAACAACAACAACCCACAAAGTTGAGAGAGTGTGACTGTCCCAAAGTCACCCAGTAAGACTTTCATGCCTTACAGAGTGGAACTAGAATTCACAGTGGCCTGGTTTCTTCAGCACTACACCTCT